CCTTTATGGGGGAGATTCCGAAGCTTGTCAATATTGACTAATTCGTATCTGACCTAAGACTGATATAAATATTAAAACGTATCATATTTGGACAATATCAACTACTTCCTTGACTTTATATGAGCTATGTACAAGTTTTTGGAAAATGTAGAAATATGCCTGTGGTACCAGATATAGTCGACCGATATTTTCCATTTGCATTCTTCATCTAACACAGATAAGAATATTTATATATATGTGTGCAAATATTGAAGGGAATCGAATATTTATATAACATTTTATGCAAAATTAAAAATTGCGATAAATTACACATTCATATCAGATTCCTGGCTAAGATCAATATTTAGCTATAGCAAGTTGTAAAGAATCGGCGACTTGTTTTTCAAGTTATGACAGACAAAATTATTGAAAATTGTGACTCTTTGCGAGTGAGGTACCAGAAGGGTTTCGCAGATATATATCATCTTCACAGCAGATCCTGCGTTAGAAAAAATAATTGGATGTAGGAAATTTGAAGAGAGTTGGATGCTTATTTCTCTATTTTTGAACGTTTCGTTTTTCAAAATCTTGATCTTGTGTTACTAGAAGTAATGAGATGTGTAAAATTTTATAATTGTTTCGGTTATTTAAAAATTTGGCCCTTTGTGGGGGAAGTACCAGAAGGAATAGTCCGATATCTTATATCTTTATAACAGATCTTGTGTTGTGGGGTATATTAATATACCCCACATATATATGGGGTATATATATATATCTTATTAATATGTACCAAGTCTGAATGGAAGCGGATTTTAATTCCGCGTTTTATGAGCTTCATGGATATTAGAAATTTTGACTCTTTGTGGTACCAGAAGCAGTGGACCGGTATATTCCCTCTAGACCTTGTGTTAATAAAAATACTGTGATGTGTGTAATTGGAAAAAAAAATCGGATATATAAATTTTATAACAGTTAAAATTATTCAAAATGTTGACCCTTCGTAGGGGAGGTACCAGACCTTGAGTTAATAAAAATATTGGGAAGTGAGTAATTAAAGACAATCAGACAGGGTGAGATGAAAAAAACTGTAACCAACTTCAGACTGTTAAAATTATTCTAGTGGCAGCTCATTGTGTTGTTGCATTTTTGTGAGAATTTTCCACAAAAAAAAAGTTATTCGCGATGGAATTCAAGCGTGATAGTGTAATTTCTGTATATTTGGCTGGAAAACCACAAGTGGCTATCGATAGAACACTCCAGCATTTAAATGTGAATAAATCATTTGTGTCACGTACCATCCCTCGTTACCATGATACGGGTAGCGTTGCCCGACGTCAAGGAAGTGGACGGAAGAAAACAGCCACATCAGCAGAAATGGTTCGAAAAGTAAAGAAGCGAATTGATCGAAACCCGCGTTGTAGTGGCCGAAAAATGGCTCGTGAGCTGAACACATCGCAATATTCCATTCGGCAAATATTGAAAAATGAGCTCGAGGTAAAACCATTGAAATTCTAAAAAGTGCAAGAACTTACTTGCACTTAGAAAGAAAATAGACTCAAAAGAGCTAAAAAGTTGCTTCGCTTGGCCGAAAGTGGTGAACTGTCGATTTTGGACTTCTCCGATGAGAAAACATTCGTAGTCCAGCAGTTTGTAAACAAACTAAATGATCGGTTACTTGCCAAAGAGGTCATGTTGACGTTCGGTTGGCCACCAGAACTCAAGCGCCGGCCATGGTGGTGGTGTGGGCCGCCATAACAGCCGATGGTCACTCACCGCTCGTATTAATCGACCGTGGCATCAGAATATCTGCCGAATATCGAATCGCGAAAATATTCTGGAGAGTGTATTAAAGCCTTGGGCACGCAAACAGTTTGGCCGCAGACCTTGGACATTCCAACAGGACTTAGCACCATCGCACTCAGCACAGAGTGGCGCACCCAAGAATGGTAACAAAATGAGCTTCCTCGCTTCATTTCCAGCGCACAATGGCCACCAAAATATCCGTTGAACTATTGTGCCTGGAGTATTTTGGAAAGCATGATTGGCACTAAAAAATAAGAAAGTGTCGATCACCTTAAGCAAGCGCTTTACCGGGAATGGGCCAAAATATCGCAGAGCAACATTCGGGCAGCGTGTGACAGTAATTGGCCGTTTGAAGACCATAATTTGGGCCAAAGGTGACCTATTTGAAGAAATCTAAACTTATTCGAAAGTTTGATGCTATTTCCGAAATTTTTTGGTTTCATTCAATAAAATTTAGAAAAAAAAAGTAAAAATTATGGCGTTTGACTTTGTTGCAGGTTTTGTTATCTTACCCGATATTTTGACCGCATCAAATAATATATACCCTCTCTAGCCATATGGCTGGCAGTATAAAAATTACTGTCAATTTTAAAAAGTCTGTCTGAAATTCTGAGAAGTATTTTTTGTTAATGCTACAATGAGAATTTGTAAAGGAAGCCTCACCATTCTCCATTCTAGATTTTATTTATAGAGAAGGGACTAGTAACGGTTTTAAGAAAATTCTCAAGGACTATCAGATTTAAAGAGTTGACGGTTTGTCAAAAGTTTTGAGTTAGATAACCGTGAGTTTTTGATGCATTTTTAACAATGGCTAACAGTCAATTAGATCTAAAAGAGCTAAAAAGATTTATCTGTGCTTTCGAAGCAATTATCACGGATTGTTGTAGAATATCTTCTCAAGATTGCGGTTTTAAGGCATATTTTATTTAAGAACAATTTTGGAGTTAATAAACAAAACAAAAAAGGAAAAACTGATCTTTTTTTATTTTTTGTCTTTTCAGAAATAATGGTTTTTAAGGAATTTTTATATAATATATATATTTTTTTAAATACCTGATCTATAATCGTGGGTTAAAATACTATTTTCAGCTGCTCAATGGCAGTGTTTTTTAAATCGCTTTAAAAAAATGTCTAATATATAATGATATTTTTAGCGCAATATATAATTTTAGGAATAATTGTAGTATTTATATATTTTTAGGAATAAAAGTGGATTTTAAAAAGTTCTCTCATGATGAACTTTTATATGAAGTAGAATATCCGGAATTTTTACAGGTAAAATCGTTTAGTTTTTAAAGATATTTTCTGAAAGGCTATCATCACTAGAGTCGTAAATTAGATTTTCTTAATGTTTTCTCAGCATCAATCGTGGCGTTTATAAGAATATTCTTATACCCTACACCATACTATGGAGGGTATATTCATTTTGGCATTCCGTTTGTAACTCATCGAAATAATGATCTTAGACCCAACAAAGTATATATATTCTTGATCAGCGTAAAATTCTAAGACGATTTGGTCATGTCCGTCTGTCTGTGTGTCTGTCTGTCTGTCCGTCTGTCTGTCTTTTGTAATCACGCTATCTTTCAAACGAATTGAGATAGAAGGCTAAAATTTTGCAGACATGTCTAGTTTGCCAGTAGGCAGGTTAAGTTCGTAAATGGGCAATGTAGGTCCACGTTTTCAAATAGCCCCCATTTAACGGTACCTCCCGACCGTATTTTCGGTGATTTTTGATGATTTTAGCGACATTACTCACCGGAATTGTTTCATATTTTACATTTGAAGTTCGAAATGAATACAACAGCCTGAGACAGAAAATTGTCTGTGCAAGTCCACGTCTTCGTATAACCCCCATATAACGGTACCTCCCTATATTCGGTATTTTGATGATTTTAGCGACATTATTCACCGGAATTGTTTCAAATTTGGTGTTTGAAGTTTGAAATGGATACTACAGCCTATGACAGAAAATTGTCTATGCAGGTCCACGTCTTCGTACAGCCCCCATATAACGGTACCTCCCAATATTCGGTATTTTGATGATTTTAGCGTCATTATTCGCCGTAGTAGTTTCAAACTAAGTATTTAGAGTTCGTAATGGGAGCTACAGTCCGTGACATAAAATTGCCTTTGCAGGTCCAGGTCTTCGTATAGGCCCCATATATCAGTACCTCCTTATATTCGGTATTGAGATGTCGTATTTGAAGTTCGTAATGGAAGCTACAGCCTGTGACAGAAAATTGTCTAAGCAGGTCCATGTCTTCGTAAAGCTTCTATATAACGGTACCTTCCTATGTACGGTATTTTGATGATTTTGGCTGCATTATTCACCGTTTATTTCAAGTTTCGAATTTGAAGATGGTAACGGCTTGTGATACGTCGTACAGGCCCTAATATAACGGCTATATTTGGTATTTTTAAAATGTTAACAGAATTTTTGGCGAATGTTAACTTTTTCGAAAATTTTCAAATTCGTTCTAAATGGTGGAGGGTATTCAAAGTTCGGCCCAGCCGAACTTATTGATTTTTGATTGTTTTTTTTTTTTTTTTTTTTTTTTTTTTTTGTATTATTCATATAGTTTTAAGTCTATTATGAATATTTTCTCAGCAAAACTGTTGCTAGGCTAGAGCAATATATATTAGAACATTTAAGACATTTAACTTAAGAAACACAAAATCCAAGAGAAAAAAGTTTCAAACACCTTCCCCTTTCCTTGAGCCAACGATATTACTTCATCCCCAAAAACTATAGATAAAATATAAAAATAAATTGAATTTAAAGTCCATTTTTGTCTGCAGTCTATAAAAACACAAACTTTAAGGTATCCACACTTATTTCCAAAAGTCAATGTATGAATGGTTCCTTTGGAGAACGGGAGTGATGACAGGGAACAAAAACCTAATCAATGAGTTTTTATGACTTCTAGGGAACATAAAAGTCAAAAGTTAACTGAAGCAGGAAAATCCATTCCTTTCTACTTTTTTGCCTTTTCCCCATTCTCTGGGACCATAACAATCTAATAAAGTTTCAACATCTTACTTGGCAGTGGGGCCAGACATAAAAAACGTACGACAACTAACTGTATTTGCAACTCTTTTTCTCTCTCTCTCTCTGTGTGTTTATGGGTGTGTGTGTTTGTTTACTTCGTTTATTTCACTGACTTTTTTTGTTTTCTTTGTTCTTTCCCTATTTGCTTTCTTTTTTGGTAATTTAGATTCTCGAATCGCAAAGGTCCAGTGAGCGAAATTTCAACTCCAGCGATGACACCAATAACAATGGCGATGAAGCATCCAGCCCGGGCATTGTTTACATGACACAGGTACGGCCGGGCCATGTCGATGGGGTCACCAAAGTGGATAGTTTAAGGAAAACTTTTAATAAAAAGGATATCTTTAAGGAGAAGGTGAAAGCCAAATATAAACCCGGTGGGGGTGGTGAAAAGAAAACGCAGCAGGAAGTTAAATACGAGTCCACAAGTCCCCGTTACACATATGATTTCCCCGAAACAGATCTTTCATCCTTTGCGGCTGTGGATAATTATGAAGATGCCATTGACGATGATGAGGAGGACGATGATGATGGCAGTGCTGAGTATGAACGTTTTAAGTATATGCATGAAAAGAAATTACGTGAACAAAAAGAACGTGAAGAGCAGAAGAAACAACAACAGCTGCAACAAAAGCTTCATCAGCAAATAGCGGATGTTGACAATAGAAAAGAAGTGGGCGGAGATGGCGGGCTGATGCCACTAATAAAGAAATTAAATGAAAGGAAATTTAATAAACCTTCCAAGAATGAAAACGAAAAATTCTCCGCCAAGGATGAAAATGACCATCACCGAGCTGATGACCAAAGAAGCCATGACGACAACGATGGCATGGATGCCAGTGACAATGATGAAGACAATGCCTATAATGACAGTAAGGCTGATAAAAATGTTGATGTTGACACGGATGACAGTGGCGCCAATATTGATTATGATAGGCATCCGATATGGGAAGAGCAACAACAACAAGAACCAAATCAAAAGTCACTGCAACAACAATCCCAGGACGCCATTGGTGATATTGCGGCCGAGGAGAACGACAACGAAAATCAAAGTCCATGGCAAGTGAGCAAAATGGAAGCGAAAGATTTCCCGAATGTGTTCATACCACGTAAAATGAAACGACATAATGGTGCGGCACGTTTGGACGATGCCACCAATCGATATACACGCATCAAACAGGAACAGCCGGTTCAACATCTACGCCAACATGCCAACACTCCGCCACACAACTCCGCTGCGAGTGATGGCGGTGACAATTCAAAAGACGATGCCACCGCCATTGACAGTCAAGAGGAATATATGTCTCACTATCGACCGGCAAAAGAAACAAATTTCCAAAAATCCCATTATGGTCGAACAAATGGAAATGTCTCGGAGGCGAGTAGTGGCAGTGATGCAACTCAGCGACAGCAACCGCAACAACAACAACAGTCATTGATGTCGTTACAACGTGACGCGGAACAAGGATACAGTTTCACTACGACGAAGGGTAACAGTAATAACAATGTTGTCAGTGGGGAAAAGAGAAAGGACCAGGAGAATGGCTTTAGCAGAAATCGGGGTGAGTATATTTATTTTTTTAATTTGTAAATATATTATTGAAGATCCCTAAAGTTTAAATATAGAATTATCAAAAAGTATTATGTTTGAATATATTCTTATGAAAACTTTTACAAGGGGAATAAGCTTAAAGTTATTATATTTATTCATGGAATACTAAACCAACGAACTAGAATTAAAAAATAGATCGATAGGATCGAACGATAATCTTGAACAAAACCAGTAAGGAAAGCTCAAAAGTCGTGCGGGGCCGACTATATGATACCCTACACCACTATGCATATTTAGTAGAACTCTCGTAAAAGAAAGGTTTATATTGCAATTTCAAAGCTCTATGACATATCTGGAACAAAATATCATTATGGTAGAGTGCATATTCCCAAAGTTGCAGATTTAAAAACCAAATCGGTAGAAACATATATATGGGAGCAAACTTGAAATTCTTCCTTCTATGCTAAACTCGGTTGAATTTCGAAAATTCACTCTATTTGGGCTAATATTAGCTATTTGGTGCACAATAAAACTTGAAATCGAATAATGATATATATGAAGGCTATATCGAAATCTGAGCCGATCTTCATAAAATTGAAAACAGCTATTTCTTGGCTTCATCTGATATCTGGTACCAAATATTATTCTTGTATCGTGCACCAAATTTGAAGTACTTATTTCTATACTAAATTCGGTCTGAAGTGCCATTTGGTGCACAAGAAACCTAAGATCGGATGAAGGTATATATGGGAGCTATATCCAAATAGGAACCGATCTTAATAAAATTTGAATCATGAATTGCTAGGTGTTATCTGATATATGCTGCAAAATATCAGTCTCGTGGCAAATCGGATGAAACATATATATTGGAGCTATAGTTATATCTGAACCGATTTTCAACAAATTTGAAGCACATGCTTGTAGGCTGAATTCGGTCGGATGTAGCAAAATTCAAACCATTTGGACTGATATTTAGCCATTTGGGAGCTATATCTAAATTTGAACCGATTTTCACCAATTTCAATAGGGTTCGTTCTTGAGCCAAACAAATGTTATTTTGAAAATTTCATCTCAATAGAATAATAAATGCGGCCTGCATTTTGTTCACAAAAATACATGGACAGACGGACGGACATGCTTAAATCCGTGAACCTTCCAGAAAGAGTAGGCGGATATCTATAATTTTCACGCCGGAATTTGCGTTAGGAAAAATAATTGGATATATGAAATTTGAAGAGAATCTTATGGTTATTTCGAATTCTATGAGAGATATAATTATTTAATATTTTGACCCGTTGTGGGGAAGATACCCGAAGGTATAAACCGATATATCCTACCTTCACACCAGATTTTGTGTTAACAAGTTAAAAAGTGTCTGTCGGGTTTGCGAACAGATGTATACCCTCAGCCTACGTTCGATTATTCAAATATATTTTGACTTGTATTATAATTATTATAAATATTTAAATATTTAGATATAGCAAGTTGTAAAGAATCACTGACTTGTTTCGCACGTTATGTCAGATATAAGCATTGAAAATTGTGACCCTTTGTGGATGAGGTAGCAGAAGGGGTTCGCAGATATATATAATATTCACAAAAGATCTTGTGCTAGTATAAATATCTATATGTGTGAAATTTGAAGAGAGTTGGGTGCTTATTTCGAGCTCTTCATTTTGCAAAATGATACCAGAAGGAAAGAGGTACCATACCATCTTTATAACAGATTCTGTGTTGATAGAAATATTGAGATCGGATGTTTTATGATCTTCAAGGATATTAAAAATTGTAACCCTTTGTTGGGGTGGTACCAGAAGGAATGGACCGAAATATTCCATCTTCACACCAGACTTTGGGTTGATAAAAATATTGGGATGTGTGTAATTTGAAGACAATCGGACACTCACATCACATTTTATAAGAGTTATAGTTATTGAAAATTTTGACCATTTATGGGGGAGATACTTGATAAATATTGAAATTTTTGAACGTTTGTGAGTAAGATACCAGAAGGGGTGGGCCGCTATCATTCTTGCGTTAGCAAAAATATTTGAATGCGTGAAATTTAAAAAGAAATGGATGCTTATTTCGATTTTTATGAGCGTTTTGTCATTCAAAATTTCGAAGCCTTTTTGGCGGAGGAGGAGGAAGTAGTGGGCCGACATGTATCATCTTCACGACAAAAGATCTAATACAAATATTGGAATGCGTCAAATTTGAAGAGAAATATTAAGATTTGCATAGTTGGAGCAAAATCAGATGATCCCTTTCTTTATGGGAAAGATACCAGAAGGAGAGGACCCATATTGCCCATCTCCAAACTAGATCTAAGCTTCATAATAGTATTAAGACCAAATCAGACACTTCCTTTGAGAGTTATTGTTCGCACCAGCTAGACAGACGGACGACTGACACTCCTAGAGCGACTCCAAATGTTCTGAAAACGGATTTGGTCCGAAAAGACCTAAGGTCTAAACCCGTTACTTCAATGAGGCATTTTTTTGTCCAACACTTTTTCAACGCCTTCTTTCAACAGCAGACACCAACAGTGACATTCATATAAAATTTCAAGGTTCCAGGTCTATCCCTTCACCCAATACCAAATTTAGTACTATTTACTACTTTTCGCACAATAATAGTAGACATTTCCAAAGCCACCTCAATGTCTCATTTCCAGATACCTACAGAGGACTCAATATCAAATTTTAACAGCAAACGCCATATTTTGTGGTGTTTTACAATTTTCGCACGTTCATTGTACACATTTCTAAATCCACCTCCTTCTCTCAACTGCAGACATTAGCAGTGACATCCTCATCAAATTTGACGATTTCAGATCTCTCCCATTACAGAATTTTCCCCATTTTCAAGCTTAGTACCATTTAGTACAATTATAGTATACATTTCCAAAACCACCTCCTATCATAACTGCAGAAACCAACAGTGACATCTATAGAAAATTTCAGGATTTCACTTCTATTCCTTCACTTAATAGCAAATTTTGTACCATTTTGTACTTTTCGTACAATTATAGTACACATTTCCAAAACCACCTCCCTATCTCAATGCAATATACTAACAGCGACCTCTATTTAAAATTTTGGGATTCCAGCTCTATCCCTTCAAATACCCAAATACCCAATTTGGTAACACTTAGTACTTTTTGAACAACTATGGTACACATTTCCGAAACCACCTCCACCTCCATATTCATCCAATACCCAATTTAGTAAGTATATATTTCCAAAACCACGTGTATAACTCAATCCCAGATACAAACAGAGACCTCAATATCTAATTTGGGGAATCCAATACCATTCAGTACTTTTCGTACAATATAGTGCACATTTCTGAAAGCACCTCCATATGTCCAGACTACACATGAACAGTTAACCTAATACCAAATTTCAAGTTTCAAGCACCATCTTTTCAAAATTGTCCCAAATACCGAATTGTACCAAACATTGTACTATTTAGTAAATTTCGTGCACTTGTAGTACACATTTCAAAAACTACCTTTTTATTACAAACCAACCACCAACAGGGACCCACAATAAAAAATTTTAAAATTCCAGCTTTATCCATACACCCTATACCAAACTGTTCCAAATTTCGTACCATTTAGTATAGTTCGCACACTTATTATAAACACCCTACATATATCAAACACATTTTCCAACATTGATTCTCATACAACCAAGTTTCATGCTTTTAGATCAACCCTTTCACTTAGTACCAAATAGTACCATTTTACAATTTTTCATAACCTTAAAGTTCGAACTTCCAAAAACTTGTTGGTGCATCTATTCTACAAATCTATCAGTAACTCTCATTCCAAATTGCAAAATTCTAATTCCTTCCCTTTGTCCAACGCTTATTATTTAATTATTTGTACATTCAAGTACTTAAATAAGCCTTTTAGTACGAATTTCCAAAATTCCAGCCTTATCACACGCCTACGCAGCAAGACTTGCAAAATTGCAAGATTCTAGCTTCAGCCATTCGCCTGGGCGTTGATTCTCGGTCGGTCAGTCTGTTATTGCATTAAGAGTATTTTCATATGATGATCGTGGATTTTCAACTAAGAAACAAATTACAAATTTGGTACAAATGGCTTTATCTAAATTTTAGCAAATATTTTCATCTTAAGGATGTACATTAGTTTCGACCACCATTACCAATCGATTTCAATGGTATCCACCATTTTGTATTTCTTCTATAGGGAAATTCTATTTGGTTTTGTAAACGGGTGTGTGTGTGTGCTCACTTATTTCCTTCTGTCCATTAAAATGTCTCTTAACCACTATTTGCGGTTTCGTTGCTGTCAGCGAAACGTTAACAGTTTCTTGTTAATGATTAAAATGAAGTTGGTTTCGCGATCGGATAGGCCGGGCTGCAGGAGGCAATTAGTTGGAATTCAATAATTTGATTTATATGGTGTTTTAATAATGAAAAACATTTCATAAAAAGGAAAAAATATTTTTTATTCGTTAAAGGACATATTCACAATAATTTTTTGTCGTTTCAAGGTTCAAGTTAAAACCATCTCATTTTTATTCAAAAACAGTTGACTACTGTGATAGTACCTTATATATTTTAAGTACTTATATGTTATTTAAACTGAAAGGAATAAGAATTATTGCACAAAATATGTATTAAACTGTTACGCTCAATCAATAACAGTGTCCGGGAAAATTGTGGTGAGTAAATTGACCATTTCCCTTTGCTGTCGATATAGCATTAAATATTCAAAGGCATTTCAGTTTCACAAACCAATGTCAGTTATATATGTATTATAAATATATGTAAGTAATAGTAGAAAAAAATAAAATATAAATACTGAATATTTAAATGTAAGTGGCATAGAATTGCGCAAATCAAAGCAAAAACAAGTTAAAAAGCAGTAAGTTCGGCCGGGCCGAACTTTGAATGCTCTCCACCATTTGGAACGAATTTGGAAATAAAATCTTTAAAAAATTCTGTTAATATTTTAAAAATACCGAATATAGCCATTTTATTGGTGTCTATACGACATGGACCTACATAGGCATTGTTTGTCATAAGTCATTACCAAATTCAAATTCGAAACTTAAAATAAACGGTGAATAATATAGCTAAAATCATCAAAATATCCTATATAGGGAGATACCGTTATATATGAGCTATACGCAGACCTGAACCTGCATGGGCAATTTTCTCCCACAGGCTGTAGCATCCATTATGAAATTCAAACACGACATCTCAAACAATTTCTGGAAGTATTGTACCAAAACTCGTCAAAATACCCAATGTAGGCAGGTACTTGTATATGGGGCCTATACGAAGACCTGGACCTGCATAGACAATTCTCTGTCACAGAGTGTAGTTCCCATTACGAACTCTAAATACGTAATTTGAAACAATTCCGGTGAAAAATGACGCTAAAAGCATCAAAATACCCAATATTGGGAGGTACCATTATATGGGGTTCTAAACGAAGACGTGGACCTGCACAGACAATTTTCTGTCGTAGGCTTTAGTATCCATTACGAACTTCAAATAGCAAATTTTAAACAATTCCGGTGAAAATCATCAAAATACCGAATATCGCAAGGTACCGTAATATGGAGGCTATAAGAAAACGTGCACCTACAAGGCCCATTTACAGACTTAACCTGCCTATTGGAAAAATAAACATGTGTGCAAACTTTTAGCCATCTATTTCAATTCGTTCGAAAGATAGCGTGATTACAACAGACAGATGGAGAGACAAACATACAGACGGACATACGCTAAATAGACTTAGAATTTTACGTTGATCAATAATACATATACTTTGTTGGGTCTGACATGAGTATTTCGAGGAGTTACAAACGGAATAACAAAGTTAATATACCCTCCATAGTATGATGGAGGGTATAATAAATCGAAATGAAATGAATAAATTCTTAGAAACTTCGTCACCACAAGACTGTGTCATAGATTTTATTATACCCTCCACCTTGAAAAGGGGGTCTCCGACAAATATTTAGGTATGTTACAAACGGAATGACAAAGTTAATATACCCTAACTTTGTCATTCCGTTTGTAACATACCTAAATATTTGTCGGAGACCCAATAAAGTATGTACAGGGTGAGATGAAAAAACTTCCACCAATTTTAGACTGCTATCATTTCTAATCCACTCGTCCGACAGTTGTTAAAATTATTCCAGTGATAGCTTTTTATATTGTTCACAAGCGAACAAAAGCATTTTGGTGAGAATTTTCCAGAAAAAAGTTATTCGTGATGGAATTCAAGCGTGATAGTGTGATTTCTTTATATTTGGCTGGAAAACCACAAGTGGATATCGTTAGAGCACTCCAGCATTTGAATGCGAATAAATATCGCTCATTACCGTGATACTGTTAGCGTAGCCCGACGTCAAGGAAGTGGACGGACGCAGTGGCCGAAAAATGGCTCGTGAGCTGAACATATAACAATATTCCATTCGACAAATATTGAAAAATAAGCTCGGGGTAAAGCCACTGAAATTCCGAAAAGTGCAAGAACTTACACAGCAACAAAAAGAAAATAGACTCAAAAGAGCTAAAGAGTTGCTTCGCTTCGCCGAAAGTGGTGAACTGTCGAATTTGGTTTTCTTTGTCTCCGATGAAAAAACATTCGTTGTTCAGCAGTTTGTAAACAAACAAAATTATCGTGTTTACTTGCCAAAGAGGTCAGCTGAAAATGTGCACCTTCGGTTGGCCACCAGAACTCAAGCGCCGGCCATGGTGATGCTGTGGGCCGCCATAACAGCCGATGGTCGCTCTCCGCTCGTATTAATCGACAGTGGCATTAGAATAAATGCTAAATATTATCGCGAAAATATTCTGGAGGAGGCTTTAATACGCCTTGGGAACGGAAACATTTTGGCCGCAGACTTTGGACATTACAACAGGACTCAGCACCATCGCTCTCTACACGTGCCACAAAAGAATGGTTACAAAATGAGGTTCCTCGCTTCATTTCTAGCGCACAATCGTCACCAAAATCTCTGGATACCAATCCGTTGGACTATTGTGTCTGGAGTATTTTTAAAAGCAAGATAGGCACTAAAAAACTAAAAAAGCGTCGATCACCTCAGGCAAGCGCTTCCGAGAATAGGCCAAATACCGCGTGTGACGATTTCATTAGCCAAGTGAAGGCCATAATTCTTGTTAACAAGGAAGCCTTTGACAAAAATGAACTGTTCGGACAAAAAAAAATCAGCTTTTTTTAAAAATACTTTCGACAAAGATTTGTCTACAAGGACTTCTTAAGGAATATTTTCATTAAGATTTTTTCGGACTAAAGATGTGGATTTGTTAAAAGAATATTTTCAATAAGGTTGGATTTTTTGTAAGAATACTTTGTGCAAAGGCCCATAATTTTTTAAAAGGTCTACTAAGAAAAAATATGTGGATGTTTAATAAAGGATCTCTCGAACAAAAGATTTGGATTTTTGAAGAAAATTTTCCATATTAACTTCTTGGAAAAAAAAAAACGGATTTCTTAAAGAATGCTTCCAACTAGGATATTTTCGAACAAAACATGTAGAATTATAAAAAAATATTTCCAATTAGGATTTCTCAGAAAAAAAATGTGGATATTTTAAAAATAAATTTCCCATTTCCTGGGAAAATGTTAATTTCTGAGGCCTTCCTAAAAAAGATTATGATGGAGGAATTTTTTTGTAAATTATACCTGCAAAATTTTATGAATTTATGAGCCTTTAAAAGGTTTTAAAAGGTTTATTCCTCAATTTCCAGGAGAACAAACTTTGATACTTTCTTTTTAACATCCTGACTTGGTATAAATGTTGGGTGTACATAAATAACTATATATAATCGGTCATGTACTGAGTGTATATACCAGACTGATTTTTTCTAACTTGTTATTTATTACATTACCTTGTTATTTCCTTTCGTACACTGCCATTGAAATATAACTAATATATTTATCTTTCTTCATTTTTTCTTCTTCTCAAATCTTTTCATGTAACGCACATTAAAATTGCAACACCAAAATGATGTCATAAAAATTTCCAACTACAACAACAACTACAACGACAATTGCTGCAACAATTATTATCAAATCCTGGATGATAAACAGATGAAATGGAAACACTGGAGATGGCGCCCAAAGCCACAGCAACTTCAGCTACCACCACGTACGATGACGACGACGAGCAAAATAAACGGCAATCATTATTCGAAAGAGAGAAATCTTTAAGACGCAATAGTAAGCATTATGGCCATAAAATCCATAAAAAGAAATACAAGGATTATCAGCACTACTACTCGGTCATGATGATGAGGCAACATCCGACAACGACGGCGGCAGTGGCAGTGGCAACCCACAGCCCTACAGCGGTGATGACAACTTCAACGCCCCCCATGCCGGAGAGGACAACCAAAAAACCTCCAATGGTAACAAAACTCATAAAAATGGATAACACCAACCGCAATGATGGAGGGGATAATTTACGGTATCGCAAGAAATTGAAGATGGAACGCATGAAGGCCATGCCACCCTCACCCATATTTGTACTGAAATCATCGAGGGGTGGTGGGCATGAGATACCAACAACAATGTCATCATTGACAGCCAGCAACAAGCCGTTCTACGAAGGACAAATCAATTATTATTTGGAAACCGAGGATGGTGATGATGAGGCACGCGCCAGTGAGGCTCGCTTTATTACCAAAGGTGATCGCATGGACACCAACGACTGGTATCGTAAACTGAGTCCAGTCTTGAGGAATGGTGTTAAAACATCAGGACATCAAGAAGATCGTACGATGGGCAGTGGAATGGGAAGACCGGCGGGAGGTGGAGGAGGAGTAGGTGGTGGTTATACACCCTATCATCACCTGCGTAACCACCATTCGAAACATCATCACCATCATCAGCATAACCCACACAATCATCATCACCACTCACGGAATCATGCCTATCAACGTAAGATGCTACCGAAAAAACCTATGGTTACCACCACACCCCTGCCTCCACTCTCTCGGAAACATGCCGCCTCCTCGTCCTCCTCCTCCTCATCGGATGAGTCCACAATACATGAGTTGGCTCATCAAATTACCGATCTAAAGGAATTCGAACGTTACTATGCCAAGTGGCCCCATCTGGCCCGCGTCCAATCCCAGCTGCACGACGAACAGCTGAGAGAACAGTTGGAGTTACAAAATCTACAAAAACAACAACTGGGCAACTATCAGGATTATGAATATGATGAGGAGTATTTTGAGGCTCTGCAGGGTATTCGAACACCCATGGCGGACAATGTGGAGGAAAATCTTCCACCTTATATACGCAAGTACAATAGACGCAATAAACAGTTGTTGGATCTGCTGGAAGGTACGTTGCCGCCACCCACACGCCCGCCTCATCAGCTGAGATGGGCAGGTTCGAAACTGCAGCCGGGTCCTCGAGAGGCCAGCAGTGTGGGTAGTATGTCGGTGCGCATTGATGATGACTATCTCAAGGAGAAACGTAAGCGATATCATCAACGCCAGAAGCAAATTCATGATTTATTTGAGGAGCAACGGGCAACCAGCACCACCACCAGTGCAACAACAATAGCAGCAGCGGCAGCGGCACCAACAACAATGCCAGCCTCCTTAGCTTATTCTTATGGCAGTGGCCGTAAAGAACAGCACATGAACGACAACAACGACAACAGTGAACCAGAACTTGAAAATCATTTGCCCGATGAAGATGTCAGTGTTTCCATGGAAACGGCAGAGGAGCATCAGGACACAAATTGGCAAAAGGAAATTGCAAGTAAATCAACATCGTCATCATCAACATCAACAGCCTTTTCGGCAGCTACTTCATCAAACAGCGGAAATTCACCAATTCCCTGGCAAATGGAAAAATTAATAACACCATCAACAAAAAATACAGGAGGCAATGGGGCCTTGGCAACGGCCTCCGCCGTCACACCGAAGCCAGCCATATTTAAATTACCCTCTTATCCCTCCATTGCTGGCAGTTATATACAACGGCCCAGGTCACGTAGTGCTCAATTTGCACCTAGTTCAGGTTCAGAGTTTCGGCGAGTTACCCCCTCCCTCTATGGGGGAGCCGGAGCAGCAAGCAACAACAATAACAACTTCATCAATGCCGGTGGTTTTGTGGCCTACAATGGCCACAATTTGGGCCCCAAATCAATGGCTGCCCGTTTCAATGGCCAGAATAAGACCAGCAGTACCACTACTGTTTTAACACCCTCCTCTCTCCTCTCGAATACGTCCAAGAGCAATAACAACAATCATGTAGCCGGCATAAGCACCTCGTCTCTGACATCGTCATCATCATCTACCCGGACATCGTCCAGGTCATCATCGCCATCCTCAGCGGCTTCTGTTAGTAATTCATTTGTATACCATCGTGTAGTGGATGCCTCACCGCGTCTGGTGGGCGCTGGGCTGACTGGACGCAAACAGCGTCTACCGTTTGTGGCCATTACCGATCGTCGCCTGGAAACGTCAAAGAAATCCCTAATGGATCATCAGAAAGACTTTGAACAAAATCACTATCCGTTGCCTTAAATAAATAAAAATGAAAATAAAATCCTTAACAGGTAGAAAAATGTAAACCCTCCCCCTCTTGAAGAGAATTCAAAGTAAAATCCAAGTGTTTGGATGACGGAATGGGGGCGGAGGGGCTTAAATGTAGTGAATTTATACCCCAAACACCCACACACACATTCAAAGGAACACACAAATCTATTAGGGTGCACAACATATCTAATTTGAAATTCAATAAAACTTTTATTGAAATAATGTTTAATTGCAAAAAAGAAAATGCATTATTTTAATACCCCTAATGGATGCAGTATTCATTTAGTCCTTTCGTCAATGTGAATATATAATTATTATATCGTTTAGTATTTTAATGAAAGTGTATAATAACAAAAGAGAGAATAAATAAAATCAATCGTAGAATTAAGTGCAGACAACACACAAACGAATACGGAATCATATGTTTATAAAGGGTGTAATAATTATAGTCATAACCAGAACAAATACTCATAACAAATCGGGTTACCCACCCATTAAATCATAAAACCAGTGAAGAAAGTCTTAAAGTCGGGCGGGGCCGGCTTTGTGATACCCTACACCACTTTGCTAATTTAGTAGAGCTGCGCATAACAATTAAAAGTTTTTTTGGGAGAATTCAGTCATACAAGCTTTGATTACAATTATAATTTAAAGTTCAAAGGACTAAATATGCCAAAGCATTTGTATCTTTTAAATTCGGACTTGTATTGCCCATTTGGTGCACAATTAATTTGAAATCGGATAAAAATATATATTGGAGCTATATCCAAATCGGAACCGATCTCAAAAAAAATTGGCAAAGATATTTCTGAGCTGTATTTGATATATTTCCCTGAATATCGTTGTTACGGAGTGCATATTACGGCTGTGGGTAACAAATATAACAAATCGGATGAACAGTATATATGGGGCTATAGCTATATCTAAACCGATCTTCACCAAATTTGACGTACTGGCTTCTAGACTTAATTCGGTCGTAAGTGCCAAATTTCATCCAATTTGGGAAAATATTAGACGTTTGGTGCACAATCAAAGGTAAAACGGAAGAAGTTATATATGGGAGCTATATCCAAATCTGAACCGATCTCGATAAAATTTAGCAAATGTATTTCTGAACTGTATTTGAGATATCTCTCCAAATATCGTTGTTACAGAGTGCATATTACGGCTGCGGAGGACAAAAATAAAAAAATCGGTTGAACAATATATATGGGTGCTATAGCTATATCTAAACCGATTTCGATCAAATTTGGCATACTTAGTTTCAGGTCCAATCTGATCGTGCAAAATTCCATACTATTCGGACTGATATTACACTTTTGGTGCACAATAAAAAGCAAATCGGACGAAGATACATATGGGAGCTATATCTAAATTTTTATCGATTATCTTCAATTTCAATAGGGTTCGTCCTTTGGCCAAACAAATGATTTGTGCAAAATTCCATCTGGATAGGTAGTATAGAGGGTATATGAACTTTGTCACTATGTTTGTAACTCCTCGAAATACTTATGTCAGACCCAACAAAGTACATATATCCTTAAACAGCCTAAAATTCTAAGTGGATTTAGCGATGTCCGTCTATATGTCTGTTTTAATCACGCTATCTTTCGAACGAATTGAGATAGAAGGCTAAAATTTTGCATACATGCATAGTTTACCAGTAGGCAGGTTAATTTCGTAAATCAGCCATGTCGGTTCACGTTTTCGTATAGCCCCCATATAACGGTAGCTCCCGATATTCGGTATTTTGATGATTTTAGAGCCACTAGTCACCGGAATTGTTTCAAATTTAGTTTTTGAAGTTCGTAATGGATACTACAGCCTATGACAGACCCATACAACGGTACCTCCCAATATTCGGTATTTTCATGATTTTAGCGTCATTATTCGCCGGAGCAGAGGGAACTACAGTCTGTGACAGAAAATTGTCTACGCAGTTCCAGGTCTTCAAATAGGCCCCATATATATTAGTACCTCCCTATATTCGGTATTTATTTTGACGATTGTATGTACAATACTCACCGAATTTTTTTGAGATGTCGCATTTGAAGCTCGTAATGGATGCTACAGCCTGGGACAGAGTATTGTTTATGCAGGTTCAGGTCTTTGTATAGCTCCGATATAACGGTAGCTCCCTATATGCGGTATTTTGATAATGGTTTGATGGTTTTAGCTACATTATTCACCGTTTATTTCACGTTTCGAAATTGAATATGGTAAAGGCTTATGCCATACAATAATAATGTAGGTCCACACGTCGTATAGACCCAAATATAAAGGCTATATTCGGCACTTAGATTTTAACAGAAATTTTAACGGATTTTATTTTTTGAAAATTTTCAAATTTGTTTCAAATGGTGGAGGGTATTCAAAGTTCGGGCCGGCCGAACTTACTGCTTTATGACTTGCTTGTTATGAATTCTACAAGACTCTTGTGACGGCCATACTTTGAACATTGAACTTTCAAAACAAAAATTTAATTAAATATTCGTCAAAAATATCTACCAATTTTGTAATTGAATTTGAAACTCAATTTGTAAGGAAAAATTGTCCTGGGAATTTTGCTAAAATCGGAGTTGAAAAAATAACTCCACTTTATTTATCCGATAACATTTTGGCAACAACCCCATGCAAGTGGACCGCTTGGCAGTTAACAACTTTCGGCCAAGCGAAGCAACTCTTTAGCTCTTTTGGGCCTATTTTCTTTCAGTTGTGGTGTAAGGTTTTGCACTTTTTGGAATTTCAATGGCTTTACCCCGATTATTCACATTTAAATGCTGGAGTGTTGTGGTTTTCCAGACAAATATAAAGAAATCATACTATCACGCTTGAGTTCCATCAAGTATAACTTTTTTTCTGGAAAATTCTCACCAAAATGCTTTTGTACACTTGTAAACAATATAATGAGCTGTCACTGGAATAATTTTCACAGCTCTCGGACGAGTGGTTTAGAAATGACAGCAGCAGTGGAGAATCGATGTCTGAATTTCTTCAATACCACAATCACATTATTTTTTAACATATCCAAAAGTGCAATCTCACTCCATCAAGTACTTCCCCCACAAAAGGTCAAAATTTTCAATAATAAGAAAAATATTTCTATCACGGATAGAACGCACCACTACTTCTAATACCTCCCACACAACGACTCAACATTTCGAACAACCATGAAGCTCATAAAACGGGAAATGAGTATTCGATTCCATTCAAAACTCGGCACAATAGTTATATTAGCACAATGTCTAAATGTGAATACGACATATATTGGACCACTTCATCAAGTACAACCCTCACAAAGGGTCAACAATTTGAATAATTATAAATCATATGAAATGTAAAACAAAAGCCAGATTGTCTTCGAAGTTTGGACATCTTAATATTTCTATCAACATAAGATTTGATGTAAATATGGAATATATCGGAACACTCCTACAGGTGCCTCCACCACAAAGGGTCAACACTTTGGCAATGAGCCCCACAAGGGGGCAAACATTTTAACTAAGTCAAGTGTCATAAAAACTTAATAATAATTTTTCGATGATCCCTCTAACTCCGTACAATACAATACCTAATAACAACGTTCGTTCTCTAGTCTTCGATTGTTAGGGGTTATAAATAACGTGTTCACTTTCAGTTAAAATGCAGAAATGATTATTATCACTTCCTTTCGAATGATCCTCATTAGTATAGAACAAATTATTCCTAAAAATCAACGATCTCTAAGTAGTTACAAGAGCAAAGCATCGACATTTGACGAAGCATTGCCGCTGGAGCCGCAAATTTATATTTCATTTCTAAGTACTTAGAGATCATATTCTTAGAGGCTTCGATTCTGTATATTACCCTGACTCCATGTAAAATATAAAAAGAGCACTTGACTACAAAATAACAGGAATGCGATATTATTTCGAGGCGTTACAATCTCTTTAGCAAACGTAACACCAATATAGTCTTGTAGGATACAACTATTAGCAGTTAATGATTTCAAACTAGTTTCTTTGGTGATCAAGTAAGAAAGCACAGACAGTTTTCATAAAAATATCGAAAATGGGGAGGTACCGATACAGGGAGTCTACTTCACAACTTGAACCAATGTGGACTGATATTTGCAGGAATTTTTCCTTACTACAGAATAAGGCCCGCTCATTTTCAATACCAACATTTCTACGAATTTGGAAGTTAAAAATCGAAAACTCATGGTCTAGACTTTAATGATGATCAAGAGTATTAATTCCTTGTATGGTCTAAAGAGATAATTCTAAGGAGTTACATGCGAAACGGAAATTAGTATCTATTATTGGAGAGGATTTTTATTACACCCTTTAAAAACAATCAAGACACTAATATAACTAATTTAAGCCTTACATGGAAACACACACACACTTGATTATGTATTTATTAAAAATATATAACTAAACTGTAAGAACTTCTCTAAAAAAACAAAAACACAAAAACAATATACGAGTACATATAAACAAAAATATCTACGCTTAGATGTTAATGAAATCATAAATAAAAACTAAGTTAGAGCAATAATTTAAGACAAATTTTGTATGATAGGCTTTAAAGGAACGCGGTAAATATTAAACAAATAACAAATATCATTAGAAAATAAGCAAAAGTATGAACAACAAAAATATATTTATTTAAAATCGAAAATAGCATAAAGAAGAAGCTTTCGCATTTTGCAAGCCATAAATGTGCAATAATTCAAGTCAGCAGTTTTAATTGTTGTTAGAAATTATACCACCAATTTAGTAAAAGTAATGATTATGTTTGAAAAAAAAATAGTTGTTGGCACTGTAAGCGTTTGTCATGGTATCGAATGGTGAGGGGTTTAAAATTTCTTGTTTAAGTATTGAAATAAGTGAATTAGTTTCAAGGTAAAATATTGAGACACTGGGAGACGTTGAAGTCGAATTTGATAATTTTGAATGGATAAGTTTAAAAAGCGGCAAAATGTTGTGATATACGATCCATTAGAAAAAAATGAATTTCAACTATTTTAAAATTATAATGATTCTCACATAGAAGTTAAACATTAACATGGAGTGAATACAAATGCCAGATTTGTTCTCAATATAGTTCCAAAATGTTGGATATTATTGAGATAAAATGTCCAAAAAAAATTATAATTTAATTCATTTA